TATAATCATCATTGTCATCAATTGTTAATCATTATTAAACCATATAACAGTGGAAGAAACATAAAAAAAAGTTGATCCAAAAAAGAATTTTTTTTCAGCCAAGATGTACATCTTGAAAATACTAGTGGGAATTGTTTTTTCCTTTTTCTTCTTTTTTACGGTTAAAACCCAAAACAGTTTCAACTTGATTAAGATGATGATGATGATGATGACGATGATGGTAGCCATCCAGTGAAAAACAAGATGAAGAATAAAATAAACAACTTGAAAAAAAACCGAATTAAAACGAATGACAATAGTATATAGAACCAGCAAAAAAAAACAACAACTTTGAATTAATAATTAAACTTGAAAACTCTTGAAAATCAAGTATGTATGGCTGGTGTGTGTGTGTGTGTGTGTGTGGAACTAAACTGGTGTCATGAGACCAAAAATCATCATCAGCATCATTTTCATTGAATTTTTTCACTCATGAAAATACAAGATTCCTAAAGGAATCTAGTGAAATCGAGAGACAAGTGAATATATCTTCATTCAGATGGGATTATGTCATAGTCTAGTCTAGTGTTTGAGAAATGGCCAAAAAAATGGCCCTATTTTCAAGAGAAATTTTCGATTCATCAACATGTTCACATCCCACACACACACACACACAGTCGAACAAAAAAAGATTAATTAAATAATTATGATGATCAAAAAAAAAAAAAAAAAAATGCAAAACAAGTGGATTGAAATTGAAATATGCGATATTCTTCAATATTTCAAGAGTATCAAAAATTCCACATAGAAAAACGAATAGTCAGAAAGAAATGGAACAAACACACACATACATACACACAGACCAAGGGTGGTGTGGTCCAGAAATTGTATTTGTGTTTGTGAATTTTATTCTGACTGTATTTCTTTTTCATTTTCTTCGTTTTTTTTATTATGCAAATTCAAATGGTGATGACACATTGCTTCACATTCATTTCGTTCATTCATTTATTTACAATCATAGTCTATTGCCTCAATGGCTTCAATGGCAGTTTGATGAACGAGCAATATTTTTTTTGTTGTTGTTGTTGCCTCTTTGCTTTTCTCTTCCTCTCTCTCAAGTTTTCAATTCACGAAAATGAAACAGGCAAAGCAACCAGAGAAAATTATTATGGTCACAAAGTTGAAAATGTGTTGTCCAGAATATACAACAACAACAACAACACACATTCAAGCCAACCAACCAACCAACCAACCCATACACACCCCGCGAAGCGAATAATTTTTAGAAAGAAAAATGGATAAAAATATGCAAGATGTTGGCACACAACAAACGACAACGACGAATCATGGTCCTTGGCTTTTTTTTCATTGGAACATTCAAAATAAAAAAAAAAAAATATTCGCGTATGGGGACATCGATCATTTTGGATCTTCATCATCATCATCATCATCGTTGGTTCGTTTGTTGTCAACGCTGGGTTATTTTTATTTTCACTATTGTCGTTATAACTTTGGTATGGTTTATGGGGAATAGTGGTGGTGGTGGTGGATAGAAAAAGAGAGAGAGAGAGAGAGGAAGGGACAACATTAACATTGTATCCATAATGGTAATCAATCAAGACAGCTGAGACTTTTTTTTCACTAGTGTGTGTGTGGACATCCGGACAAATGAATCTCATTTTTTTTTCTCGGTTATAAACAAAAATGGCCCTATTGGGCGGTGATAGTGACGTGTACGTTAATTTTCAAAATTTGAAACATACATTGGAGTGGGAAAGGAAAGAAGAGGTGACATTTATCATTACTAAATAGTGTAATAACTAATGGCCATCATAGTCATCATCATCATCATCATCATCATTGAAATTCAGTAGTGAATCCAGGAAATGAAATAGTCTGATTAAATACGATTTGATTTGAAGGGAAAAATTGGATTGTCATTATTCTCATCATCATCATCATCATCATCATTATCAATGAAAATGAGAAATTTCTGACCAGAAAAAAAACCAAAAAATTTCAATTACAGCTACCGTATACCGATTTAATAATGATAATGATGTTTTTTTTTCTCTGGATGATTCATAAGTAGGTGTGAATGAAAATGGATAGAACCGAATGAAAAAAAAATTCATCTGTGAACCACTAATGCTTCAGTTTTAATCAATGAGTGTGTGCGTATGAGTTTGAGTGACAAAGACAAATCAATTAAAAGAAGAAAAAAAAATTCAATTGCCAAAACCCACAATAAAGAAGCTCAAAAAAAAATAATAACCAATCAATCGAGAGATCAAAAAAAGGATGAATGAATTGATGAAAAAGTGAAAAAAATAAATCATCATCATCATCGAATTCAATTTCAATTCAAACAAATAGATTATAAGGATTGATGTACATACATGAATGAATGAATGAATCGTGAAAAGAAAAAGAAGAAAATTCCGGAAATTTATTCTGAATACATGAAAAAATACAAAATGAGTACCCAGAACTCTGAATATATATATATAGTACAGCGAAATGAAAATGAAAAAAAGGGTCCATAATTCATTTCATTCACCCACGCACACACACACACACACACACACATTCGATTGGAATGAATTTTCATTTTCATTCTTCGTTTTTCTTTCTTTTTTTCGCTATTCGTTTCATTGTTTTGTTCGAACTCAATTAAAGTTCAATCAACCAAATCGAAATCATTATCAACAAAAAAAAGAGAGAGAGAATCCGAAAAAAAAACTTTGCGATCACACACATTTATATTCCATCATATGAATTGAATGATATAGTACGATATATACAATTCATTCACATTCATTCGCACACAAACGATTGGATCAAGATTTTTTTTTATGATTTCCCTTCTCCAAAACATTGAAACTTGAATAAAATGTATTCCATGATAAAAACTGTGAGACGATATATATGATAACAACAACTACTACTATTGCTGGATTTCAAAGATCCTGAAAAAAGCTGTCATCGCTATGTGTGTTTGTGTGTGTGTATCATGATGACAAGATAAATGTCCATTTTGCCTGTATTTCATTTTGGTCCACTATTCGATCAACATCATTTCAACAATGTAGTAAAAGTTGTTGTTGTTGTTGTTGTTGTTGTTGTCGTTGATGATGATGATGATGTTCCAATTGGAACAATGCCATGATTATGGTGATTATTATTATTATGATGATATATAGTGACGATGATTATGAATGGCAATGAAAACCCGTATATGAAGTGTGTGTGTGTATGTGTTTTATCATCAACATAATAGGCCATGACCTATGTATATGCTGATCTTTAGATATCAGTGATAGTTGTCCATTTTTTTCATATATATTCATCACCATATGAATTATATTGGATTTTATCTTTTTTTTTCCAAGAAAATCATATTACTGAATAATTCCTGAATGAGAATCAACCAACGAAAAAAGAAAAAACAAAAAACAAAAAAAAAACACTCAAAGTTAGAGTAGAAGAAATGATTCAAATATAAAATGTACATTGTAAAAGTAGAATAACGACTTGCCATACGAATAGGAAAAAAAAGAGGATCAATCGTAAATCGATACAATAAAAAGCAGAAAAAATGGTCGATAGCTTTCTTCTTCATTTTCATTTTCATTTTCATTTCATCATTTGAATGTGATATGGCCATTGAATTTGCCATTTATTAAACGAATGAATAACAAAAAAAAAATCGAATCATTTCACGACGTTAAAAAAATAAAACACATCGATTCTCGACGACATTAACAACTAGAGCAGCGATGAAATCGTGCATGAATGGATCACCAACATCAATGAACGCCACGATATGAATCAATAATGGACAAGGATTTAGAATATAAAGAAAAAAATCGCTGCATTTTCAAATTTCTAGTCTAGTTTTTAGATATAAAATTGATAAAATCCCAAATGATATATGATGATGATGATGATCCTGTGCTAAATTTATATTGAGAAAAAAAAATCCCATGAATTTAAATTTTACTGCATGTAAATGATGATCAGGATTAATTAGCTTTTAATGCGGAAACAAACATTTAAAAAATTTCAAATGATTTGAATTCAGAAATTAAAGAGAAAAAAAAATTTCAGTTTTTCAATCCGTTTAATCGTTTATTTTTAGTTTGTATGCACATAAAAATGATCTGATTTACTCTGATAAGGATAATTTGAAAAATGATCAAAATAGATAAATGTCATCTATGGATATATATCCAGCACTGGATTCCTGGATTTTTAGTTTTTTTTCATTATGCAAATTCATTTTCCATACATGATGTAGGACATTTTATCTGGTGATTCAATATATATATATCAAAATGTGTGTTTGCGCGTCTGACCATTGTTTGCATTTTTTTTAACAAAAATATTCATCAAACCACATTTATTCATTATGTTTTCATTCATTATTGTTTTACATTTTTTTTGCACTAGAATCTAGATTCGTTTTGTATTCATCGTCATCATCAATTTAATGATGAATAAATGAATGAATGGATGTGCCATAAACATTATCATTTGTTTTGTTGTTTTGGTCATCATCTATACTGACATCATCATTAACATTCATTATCATCAGAGATTAATTTAGTAATAGTAATTGTAAATCTGTTTTGTTAGTGTGTGCGTGTGGCTTGGCTGGCTATGTGTGTGGTAATATCGAAAAAAAGACTGTGTGGTCAAACTGTTTAGTCTACTGATGATGGTGATGATCATGATGATGTTGACCAACCGATTAATATCGTTATGAATATAATGATTTAAACAAATCATAGCAACAGCAACATACACACACACACATGTACACAGACAATAGACGTAAACCAGAATTAAACTGGAATAACCAGATCAGCCTGATTGCACATTAATTTAATGTTGTTTACCACATCAGTTTACAAACATACTGAATGGGAAAAACAATGGACAAATGTAATGTAATGAAAAATTAAAACGAAAACAAAAAAAAAAATTCATTTTCAAAAAACCAAAAAAACAATGCTTACTTAGATGATGTATCCTTGTTTTTGGTTCAATATTCTCTTGCCAATGTAATGTGAACACAATTGATTCGTTCAATATGAATGTAATGATGATGAAAATTATTATACAAAATAATGTTGATGATTGATTCAATAATTGATGAAAATTTATTGATGATGATAATTTCGATGATGACCAGAATAATTTTTGATTATCTAAAAGTCGAAATTTTCTTTGTTGACTAGTTAATGATGAATATTTGGACAAATAGTGATGAGAATTTGAATAATGATGATTATCATTAGAATTTTGTTGACAATTCATTTGGATCACATTATTCATACAGACAATATCATCATCATCATCATCACCATCCTGATGATGATGATGAATCGTTTTCGATTGAGATCGATTTATATTTGAAGAATTTTGTACGAAATTTGTACAATGATTTAATAATTTTAGTTTAGTTCTTCGTCTTTGATTTGGATCATCCAATTTGGCCATCATTTTCATCGTGGTCATCGTTGACAATGTATTGGATTCGATCGAGACCATCGTTTTAGATTTTTTTAATCGGATGGTTCTCGATATTAATTTTTTTATTTCTTTCGTTATTTATGGAGAATTATATTTATATATGATTCGGATATTTGAGATTTTTTTTTTTTTTTGTTCGCTATCACACACAGAAATTGAAATGATCATTCATTCATTCATTCACAATAATGAATGCCATGAATTTTTTGTGGTGTAGAAAATTTATGTTTCGATGTAGTAATATGATTCCTTTCGAATATGTTGTCGTTGTCGTTGTTTTAACGATAAAATTATTTTCTGCACCCAATGAAATATGGATCTATGGAAAAATTCAAAAAAAAAACGAAAAAAATGAAAAATAAATTAATAAATAATACATATAATCGATATTGAAAATAATGAAAATAAATGGGTCAATAAATAACCCGTTATAATGATAATAATTATGAATGAGAAAAAGTATATAAAATATGTCAAATTAAATTATTATAAAAACATTTAAACATTGAGTCATTATTATGGAACAACACACACACACACAGAGTGAGAGATGATCGATTGACCATGGGATTTATTTGGAAAAAAATACCAACCGACCAATATTCACACAAAAACGAAATCTATCTGGACCATTATTCATTATATATCAATTTTATGATTCAAATTCAGTGAGAGAAAAAAAACTTCAATTTTATTTTCAAATGAAAACAATAATTCTAATCATTCATAAGGGAAAGGGAATCGAAAAAAGCGGCCATTCAATTCAAGTATGTTTTCAAAATTTGTATTTTTTTTTTTTTTTTTTTTTTGGTCGTTGAAATTTTCATTGAAAATCCCCATTGCCTGTTTAATCATAAAGTTGCCAGCCATCCAGCCATCCAGCCAGCCAGTCAGCTAGCTAGCCAAGCTCGAAACGAGGAACAAAAAAAAAACGAACTAAAAACAAGGCTTAGAAAATCCGATTATACAAAAAAAAAAGTCTGCATGATTGGAAGATTGGTTGGTTGGTTGGTTATTTTTTTTCGATTCGATTATTCTTCAATGATCATCAACAAACGTGGCCAACCAGAAATCGATCATAAACTAGCAAACAAAACTTGATCATCAGCAGTATGGAAAAAAATGAACTACCAAACATTCAGTGTGTCTGTGTGTGCGTTTGTATGTCCGAAGATTAAATTTGTTTTTGAGATCCAGATAATAATAACAAACAATATACCTAGATATATGTCATGTACAAAATTATAAATCCACTTATATGAATCCTGTGTTGTTTTCGATCCAAAAAAAAAAAAATAATCATGATCATCAAGAGGGAACGAAACAAAAAAAAAAAAAAAAAAAAAAGCTAATCGTTTTCATTTTTCAATGTTTTTTTGTTTCGTCATAAAGACTGAAAGGTGACCTTGGAGTTCCATATATGAAAATGTAGTTGTAGGGGCCAAAAAAAATGGACCGATTTTGAAAAGATACCTCTGATATGATGATCATCATTATTATTTTCATTCGAAACAACAAGGATCTTTCGAATGATTTTTTTTTCGCCATTCGAACGATTATGATGAAAATGAAAATTTATAAACAAAAGATAGCAAAAAAACTGAATTGATGAACGAAAAAAAAATTGTAACGACAACACCAGATTAGTATTATAAGTATTTTTTCCACAACATTTTGTACAAATATTTTCCCGAATCGAATTGAAATATTGCGTGTATTTCATCATTGTGTGACCATCCACAAGCACACACACACACACACACACACACCATGTTGTTATCGATAAGTAGATCATTATCATATCGTTTTTTTTCGATCTGTCTCTCTTTCCGGATCACACATTGTTCATCTTTTCATCTTTTTTTTTTGATTTGATCAATCTATTTCATCACAGACCATCATCACCACTCATCATCCATACAGGTTTGACAACAAACGACCAATCAATCAACGAATGAACCAAACGAGTGGCCATTACTGATTACAAATTATGAAAATAGAAATGAAAATGGAAATAATCCAATCCGATTGTGAATCACATGATGATGATGATGATGATCACAGTCGTTTATATCGGATAATATACATGTGATCCATGTTGAATGTTGTTATTAATGTACAAATGAATGAATGATAGTGTGGTATTCTCATTCATGAAACTTATCGAAAATTATTTTCCATTTTCAGTAGGTTTGTTTGTTTGTGACCATGTCCTGACCCTAACCCACACACACATGAAAATGAAAATTGGAAAAAAACCACTCAGACCCAGCCAGACAAAAAAAAGAAAGTTGCTACTGTACACGAGTTTCAGAAAACTTTTCTGTTTTTTTACATATGTGGTCGTTATTGTATTGTTCCGGTGATTAAATTCATTTCAATGGTAAGTATACAATGTGGCAAAGGATATAAAACACGCACAAATACAAAAGTTTTGGTCCTTTTTCTTGGGTCAATTTTTTTTTTCGTCCAAATTGTGTGTATACACTCTTTATTATCATTATTATTAGAGGTCTTTGTCGCCGTCGTCGTCTTTGTCATTATCAACTTTGTCTTTGCCGTAACCATAATCATAATGACCACCAATATGATTCGTATCGAACAAGTCATCGTTATCGTTGTGCACCTGGTGAGGTCAACAACGACAACCAGGACGACGACAAAGATAGCATTGACACAAAATATCATTGTAAATAATCTAACCACCAATACGAACTGAATATCAGCAGCAAAATAAAGAAGAAAAAAAAATAAAGTCCCAAGAAAATGATTTTTAAAAACAGCTGTCTAATGTATTTTACAGTAGACATAATCACACACACACACACACACACACACACACACACACACACACACACACACACACACACACACACATGGAAAACATTTGGCCACCATTCCATTTTGGAACTTATTGATTATTATCATCATCATCAATAAGTAATTGATCATCATCAATGAATTAAGCTATAGCTACTGTTATTTTTTATTTTTATTATTATTAATGCGTTAAGGAAATGAAAATCGAAACGAAGCAATTGAAAAATAATATTTCCACCAATCGAATGGCTAGATATTTTTTTTTTTTTTTTTTGATCGATGATTATATTGAGAATATTAGCTTCAAACCATTTTTTTTTTTCTTGAAAACAATTTTGATTTACATTTATCTATAGTGTAAATGTGTGTTTCCTATCTTCATGGAACATTTCAATTTCAATCAATATCCATCATCATCATCATCATCATCATCGTCGTAATCATGGCGTCATGATGATGGATTGATCGACAAATTTTGTCACTATATTCAAATTTGTGAACAAATCTAGTCGATTAATCCATACGAAAAAGAAAAAAAAGAAAGAAATATAGGCCATAGATAATTTTTAACCATGAGAACATGAAATTTGTTCACAAAAAAAGTTATCAATGAAATTTAATCTGTAAGTTTTGATAATTAAAATTCGTTTCATATCAGCAAATCAAAAAATTTAAAAATCAATTTAAATGAAGGGTCAGTTTAACAAAATTAAATTGAAATTTTTTTTTTTTATTTAAGACTGACAAATGATGAAAATCAAAATGTACAAATCAGGAAATGTCAAATTGATCAACAAAATCAAATGGGAAAAATTTTATTTTTTTTCAGGCAACAAAAAATAAAAAACCGTTTATCTATGTTTTTTATCGTCTGACCTGAGTACAACCGTCGACTATGACCATGATGATGATGTTGTAGTGGTTAGCTATGTATCCAGAAAATTCTCAAAGTGAACAAAAACAAGTAATGATAAATCAAAAGTAGAAGAGAAAAAAAGGTGGTAAAGGTCACAACCTCGGTCACAACAAAAAGCAAAAAAAAAATAGAAAGAAAACAGGTAGACATGGATGAACAACAAACAAAGATAGGTATGATGATCTAGTGAAAAAAAAAATTGAAAAGAAGAAAAAAATCAACAACCAAAACAGATTCTCATTTGAAATTCATTCATCCGAAGCCACAAAGACACGAGTCACAAGTTATTTTTTTTCATCTTGGTTTTCATCCGTAATAAATACAAAAAACTTTTATGAAAAAAAACGAACTTTTGGACAGGTTCATAGGTTGATTACCACACACAAACACACACACACAAACATAAACATTGAGTTAAACAGTGAATCACTACGAATACTAGCCTTTTTGATAACTTTAACGATACGCTTCAAGTGTTTTCTGTTCTGTGGATGTTTGTGTGTGTTTTTATCGGTAACACCGACAACAACAACAACAACAACAACAACGAAAATCTATTCTGAAATTCACAAATGTCATAATGCCAAAAAATAAATAATGGTAATGTACTGAAATTAAAATATACAATGTATAATAGTAGTAGTAGTGGTAGTCATTTCATTTCATTTAGTGATGATTCAAAACTACCATATGCCATAATCAAAGAATTTTTTTTTATCTACCTAAAAATTCAACAAGTCAACCAAGACGGACCAATAAGTGTTTACAACCACGACAAAAAAAAAATGGCCTGAATGAAATGAAAAAAAAAAAAATAAGTGTGCAAGTCGTACGTCGATGACAATAATGACATGACGAAATTATTCTTGTAGAGTATAAGAATTT